TGATCATGAATCAGTACTTTGTTTCTGAACATGATAATCTCTGGGTTCAGCTCCCCAGGTGTAGTAGGAACCAGGGGGCAGGGAACTGGCAGGGCAAGTTTTGGGGGCATTTAGAGGTCCCTTAGCCAAACACTATCAAATGTCATCTAACATGCCTCTGGCTCTCCACATTTCAAATGTCTGTAAACCTGGAGCTAGAGAAATGAAAATGCATTTAAAAGAGTTGCTAAATTTGCAGCGGCTTTTTCTCAACCTACTAGCTGCAAACTTAACTACTATCATGGGCGGACCTTCCTACTTGAAAAACTTGGAGGTCATTGGGTTCCAAGAACAAGTTCACATTATGATCCCATGGCCCAGCCCCCACCCCCACCCCCACCCCCCCACCTCCCCCAATTTGTAATCCCACACTGAAGCCCCTGGGAATTCTAACCCACTGTGCCTTTGCTTAAGTTGTTTCCTGCACCTGGTCTGCCCTCCCCTCACCTTCAGCTCAGGGGAGCATTCCACAGTCACCTCCATCGCACCACTCAACAGGAAGTGCTCCCTTTCCTCATTTTGAAGCCCTCAACATCCCTTTGCCACTTCTCTGTTGTGTGGCTTTAAACAAGCTACTTAACTTCTCTGAGCCTCAATTTTCTCATCTGTGAAATGGAGCCAATGAGACCAACTTTCAGGGATGGCTGATTAAAAGAGAGTGTTAGCCAACGGTTTGCCTTGGTTTCCGGAGTGGTTTAAGCCCTCCAAAGATGGGACAGCTCTTGTGGATGAGGACCCTGGAGCTCAGAGAGGAGCAAAGACTCTTCCAAGTTCACAGAGCCATGTGCAGGCGAGCCAGGGCTCAAAGCCAGGCCGTTCCTCACCGCCCTCCCTCTGGTTCTGGTCTGTCTGTGTCCCCAGACTGGGCAGGGCCAGGCAAGGGAGCAGTTTGCTCTTTACCAGCAACAGCTCCCTTTGGGACCAGCCCTCGGCCCCCTGGGGCTGGCTGAGCACACACCTATTTCCCAATGTGACCGAGGGAAATGGCCTGGGTGTTGGAGGCCCTTGGACGTTTGGCAAGTGTTGCTTATACTTCCTGTGATCCTCCCTAGGCTGGAGGAGGCCCAGCCTGCTGGAGCCAAAGCTGTCACACGGGCCAAGTTCTGCAGTTTCCAGAGAGAAAGGAGAAGTGAGAGCACCGCTCTCTCCCCTCTGCCACCCCCTCACCGCACCCTCAGCAACTTCTTTTCTGTTCTTTCCCTCAGTTCTTCATGCAAAGTCAATGCCTGCAGTCTCAGCAGCAGCCCCCCTTCTATCAGCCCTGAAGCACGAGGTGGGTTCCCACCACCCACCCACCCTCACCCCCAGGACCAAGGTCAATTCGTGCCTCCTGGAAGCCTGAGGGGATCGCCAGGTCAGGCTGAGCTTGCCCTTCTCAGGCCCAAACATTTGTTGTCTGGAATGTATGCTCTGGGTTCCAATCCTTCTTTCATTTATCCACTATTAAATATATCTTGTGATCTACTCTGGACTGCAATAATCCTACATAATAAAAGCGTAATATGCTAAGTGTCCAACTGATCGATAGACCTTTTGGTCGACCGCTCGACCAGTCGCTATGATGCCCACTGACCACCAGGGAGTAGACGCTCCAACCGGTAGGTTAGCTTGCTGCTGGGGTCTGGCTGATCGGGACTGGGTGAGAGGGCTGGACATGCCCTGGAGCTGATCAGGACTGGGTGAGAGGGCTGGACATGCCCTGGAGCTGATCAGGACTGGGTGAGAGGGCTGGACATGCCCTGGAGCTGATCAGGACTGGGTGAGAGGGCTGGACATGGCCCCCATCTCTGGCCAGGCCAAGGGACCCCACCCATGCACAAATCGTGCACCAGGCTCTAGTAGTAGTAATAATAATAATAATAAGAAGAAGAAGAAGAAAGATCTTCCAGGACCAGGGTACCCAAAGGGGTCCTTTTATGAGACTCAAGGCTCAGGAGACAGACAATTTTAGCATAACCAGGTAGGAGAGATACCCCAATAAGAGGTTATCTCCATAGTGCAAAATGTCTGATTGCCCTTTAGATATGAGGTCAGATCTCTGGAGGACCCACTCCCCTCGCCCCTCCAACCCCAGGGCCCACCATGAGCCCCTCCTACTCTTGCATCCCTCATCCAGGATCAGAAAATGACCAACAACATACACTGGAAGCCAGACACAGAGGAGGCGGACAGGGTGGGCGAAGGAGAGAAAGAGCGGGAGAAGCCAGGCCTAAGGGGGAAGGAGAGACTTGTGGGGCCTCCGTGGAGATGGGTGTGGACTGAGAATGGAGAGTGGGGACAAATGAGGAAACTGCGGTTCAGCAAGGTTAAGCTCAAACACACAGCAAGACAGTGGAAGCTGGGATTCACGCCCACGTCTGTACGCCCCCAGCCCAGCTCTTGACTGCTGTGCTGTGCTGGGACCGGCTGAGTCACACGGCCCAGCTGCCCCGGCAGGCTCACCGAGGCCATGTGAGCCATGAACACCTCTCTCTCTGCATGCATCCCACCCAAACCCAAGACCGGAGCGCTGAGAGCTCAGCCTGTGGTGCCACTAGCATGTTTTCCTGAAGGTGGGGTGATTGTTAACTGAACACCTTCTCCACGCAGATTGCTTCATACCTATTATCTCATTTAAGCCTCAGAACGACCCCCAAGACAGGCAGTTTCCTCAGGTTTCAGAAGGGTCAGAGGACTTGACCAGAGTCACACCAGAGTAGGTAGCCTGGCTGGGACTGTAAACGCAGGTCTGCAGGCTCCAAGCCCAGTGCACTTTCTTCTGGGAAAAGTCAACATTCTAAGGACATGATTACTCTACGCCTCCATTCCCTCATCTCCAAAAGGAGAAAAATTACCCTCCCTCCTGGGTGGTTTTAGGCTTGGAGGTGATACATGTAGAGCCTCTGGAACAAAGTCGATGCTGTGCAGCCACTATTTTCATTCTTAAGCAAGCCAGAAGGGTCTCGTTGTGGACGGGAGCATGAAGGAAGCCCTTTTAGAACCAGGCAAAGAAAAAGGAAAAAGAGAAGACACTCGGGAAGTCTCCCGTCTTCCTGGCTCCGCGCGGGCTTCATTAGACTCATAAAATCAAAGTCGGGGGAGACAGGGCTCCAGGGGGCTGATGGGGACCCAGCAGGAGAGAAGCTGGCCTCCCCTGAAGACCCACCCCCTTCTCTCATCACCATGGAAACGGAGCTGGCTGCCCTGCAGGGTTCCTGCCCTCCCAGGGCCTGAGGTTGCTGCAAAGGGAGGGGCAGGAGCTCAGCAGACAGAGACCAGTCTAGAAAGCTGGGGATTGGGGGGATTGTGACTACATCTTCCTCCCCCCACCCCCCTCACCCCCCCACCCCCAATCCCCAAGGCACTGAAGGACTCAGGCTGGTGTGGGATGTGTCTGGCGGATCTGAATCCCAGCTCTGCTAGCAGCTGGCTGCGTGACTGTGGGAAAAACACTTCCTCTCTCAAAGCCTCCGTTCCCACATCTGTCAAAAGAAGGGGTAAAATGAACACTTGATGAAGAAAACTGTGGGATGAGGAAGAAATGAAATATGATGCACGTAGAAGAATATTTAGTGCTCAGGAAGAACATTCACTACATACCGTTTATTGAGAAAAAAAGAGAGAACTTTACAAAACTGACCAGTGTGATCCCATTTCTCTTTGTTAAGAAAGCACACCCTCTATTTATGTTTACCGAGAAAAGGAGCGGGGGAGGTGAAGTGCTCTAAAACACTCTGCTTGTTGTCTCTAGAATGGGGACGGCAGGACATTTTTTATTATTTCTCAAATTTTGGCCAATGAACATGGATTACCTTTAAGGTCAGAGTGACATGAGTAGCTATCATCTGTGTTTATTACGTAGGGACATCGGCGTGCACGTGGTTTAAAGCCTCTTCTGCCTTCACAGTCACGCGGGGAGGGAGAGTACCCTGATTGTCCCCACTTTACAGAAGAGGAAATTGAGGTTCAGAGAGGTTAAGGGCCTTGACCAAGGTCTAACCACCGAGTGGCAGGGCTAAGATTTAAAATCACACTAAGATACTGGACTCCCAAATTCAAGCATTTAGTCATTATCGCTACCGCCTCTCAGGACAAGAAAACACTAAAGGTTCTATTTTCTTAAATGGTTCACTATGGAAAATATCGAGGAAATAAAAAATCAAAAGCAGAAGGAAAAATGTAACTTTCAGTTGTAAAATGAGTAAGTCCTGGGGGTCTGATGTACAGTGTGGCGACGATAGTTAAGAATACTATATTGCATACTTAGAATTTGCTAAGAGAGTAGATTTTAAGCGTTCTCACCACACACAACAGAAGTATAACGATGTGAGATGCTGGACGTGTTAGCTTGGTTGTGGCAATCATTTCACAATGTGTACCTACATCATATCATTATGTTGGCTTTGGCCAGGTAGCTCTCAGTTGGTTAGAGCATCGTCTGGTTACGCCAAGGTTGTGGGATCCATTTCCGGTCAGGACAAATACAAGAATCAACCAATGAATGCATAGAGACGTAGAACAACAAATCAATGTTTCTTTCTCTTCCCCTTCCTCTCTCTCTCTCTCTTAAAAAAATGAATGAAAAGAACTGAATCTCTAAAAGAAATCATTATGTTGTGTATATATCCTTTTATTATATAGGTCAGTTATGCCTCAATAGGACAGGAAAAAAAAGAAAAGTATACTGAGCTCTGTCTGCTGTACCCACCACCCAGCTCCCAAAGAAGTCCTTAAATGAAGGGCTGTGGGTGGGCTCAGAGAGGGGGGTGGGAATGTTGCCAGAGCCTTACACACACACACACACACACACACACACACACACACACACTCCCCACACCACACACACCTCCCAGGCTCCACTTCTGGCTGCCTCTGGGGCTGTGGCCCCAACCTCGGTGGGGAACCGCAGGCAGCCGTCCTCCCCCTTTCCCGCCCCCACCCCAGTTCCTTCCTCCTTTCTAGCTTCTAGTGTAACTTGCGTTTCCCCAGCCGGCTCCTTTGTAGGTCCTTAGTTCCTTGCCAAGACCTCGAGGCTTTGCCAGCTCCGGAGGACGAAGACATGGCCAGGGGCCCTGACGACACACCGAGGTGGGCAGCCCTGATGGTGCTGGCTGCCCTGGGCACAGCGGTGACGGAGACCACCAACCCTGGCATCGTGGCCAGGATCACCCAGAAGGGCCTGGACTACGGTAGGCCTTCCTTCCCTCCTCTCCCACCCCCCAGGAGCATTCACTGAGCACCGGCTGTGTGCAGCCTTTTAACTCCAGTGCATGGCATGCTCACAGCTCCTCAAAGTAGGCCCTTCACCCATCTATATGAAGAAACTGAGGCAAGGAGAACTGCCCGAGATCACAGGGTCCGGCAGGAGCAGAACTGGGACTGGAGTGCGGGGCCTGGAGGACTCCAAGTCCAGGGCCCGGGCCCCCAAGGGTTTCATCTTCATGGTGCCCGCCTTCCCTCTACCCAAACCTCAACCCCGGCTTCTAGGCTCTTTACTTTCTTCCCCAGCTTGCTCTCAGCCCTGTCATTTGCCTCCAGATCACTGGCTCCGTCTTCGGCGTGGGCAGAGCTCAGGCAGCAAGGAGCTGAGTGGGCAGGGGGAGGGGCAGAGGGAGCATAGAGAGAGCCCTTCTTAATGGTACCTCCAGGGCAGGGCTTGGCGGCCATACTGTGCGCCCTACCCATCTGGGTCCCGCAGGCCACTCATCCAGCCCCAGATAGAGGCGTGCGGGGCAGGAAGCCGCTCCTGCTGACCCGCTCACCTCTGAGCGAGGACCTTTACACACATCATCTCGTTTCATCTTCATGTCCCCCTGGGTGGGGCATACTGTTACTAGCAACATTAACGATGAGCAAACTGAAACTTGGAGAAGGCACTGACTGGGTAGGCCAGAGGGCCGCCTGGATTTGAGCTCTGGTCTTGTCTGATGTCCCCTAGTGGAGCTGCTCGATGCTGCCTCCCAGTGGCGGAATGATGAACTGCAGAAGAGTGGAGAAATAGACCAAGAAAGCAGAACCTCAGGCCCTGGTTTCCACTGCTGCATCAGGTCCCGACTCAGAGGGACCTGGTCTCTCATCCCCGAATTCCTACCCCGACACAGGCAGGATACCTCTGAATCCCCAGGGGAAAGGAGTCCGGCCCTTCTCTGAATAGTGCTGGGTGGCCCTGAAGGCTCGCCAGGAGCAGAGGGTGGGCTCAGCCTTTAAACCGGGAAGTCTCCAGATTCTGTCACAGCAGCCCCGCTTCCCCTTCTACTCACACCCCATGTGGAAACCACAGCGGGTTTTCTGAAATGCAGGAGCCCTGCTGGTGCCCCCTCCTTACTTACACCAGTCAGTGGTTCCCTAGTGCCCTCAGATGCCCTGACCCCTGGGCATGGCATTCGAGACCCTTCATGACCTGGCCACTGCTGACCCACAGATCCCGGCCAGCCCACACCCACCCCCGGCAGTGACAATGTGTGTGTGTTATTTACTTTTGACCCCCCAGAAGGCTCATCCCCGGATACAGGCTCTGGGACCAGAAGGCCTGGATTCAAATCCTGCTTCATCACTTGTCAGCTGTGTGGCCACCTTTCTGAATTTCAGTTTTCTTATCTGAGAATTGGGGGTGACAATGGACCTACTTCCTAGGATTGTTCAGATTCAGTTACTTAATGCATGTCCAAGGCCCAGAACAGTGCCTGGCACAGAGAGTTTGATAGCTGTTTATTATTATTTATTATTATTATTATTATTATTATTATTATTATTATTATTATTATTTACTAACTAGTTCTTGGAAAGCACAAAGCCTGGGATCCCTCATTTTACAAATTACTCCTTCTCAGGTATTGTTTGCCTTTTTATTGGTTCTTTGACCAAGCAATAGGATTGGCACATGCAGAGGCCCTATAGAGACATAGTCCAAAAGCCAGAGAGATGGAATACCTGTGAGGGCACAGCACAGAGCTAGGCACAGAGTAGGTATGCAATCAATACCCATAGGAGGCATGACTGGGTGTTTAGTGGTGATATTTTAGATCAGGGGTTGGCAAACCACAGCCTGCAGGCCAAATCTGGGCCACCGCAATTTTTAAAATATATTTTTATTGATTTCAGAGAGGAGGGGAGAGGGAGAGAGAGACAGAAACATCAATGATGAGAGAGAATCATTGATTGGCTGCCTCCTGCACACCCCACACTGGGGATTGAGCCTGCAACCCAGGCATGTGCCCTTGACTGGAATCGAACCCGGGACCCTTCAGTCTGCAGGCTGACACTCTATCCACTGAGACAAACCAGCTAGGGCCCACCGCATGTTTTTGTGTGGCCTAAGAACTAAAAATGACGTTTACATTTTTAAACATTGAAAAAAGCCAAAGGAAGAATAATATCTCACAACATGTGAAAATCATACAACATTGAAATTTCAACGTCCATAAAGTTGTATTGGAACACAGCCACCCCCATCATTTCCATAGTGTCCATGGCTGCTTTGGGCCAATAAGAGCAGAGTTGAGTGGTTGTGACAGAGACAGTAATAGCCACAGAGCCAAAAATATCTACTCTCTGGCCCTTTACAGAAAACTGTAGCTTTAGGCCTTTTCAATCCCACTGTCCTGCGATGGACGGGGGCCCAGGCTCCCAGGCTGTGCCCCTGACAATAACTCCTGCTCTCTCCACTCAGCCCGCCAGCAGGGAGTGGCCGCGCTGCAGAAGGAGCTGGAGAAGATGGAGATTCCCTCTTTCTCAGGAAGCTTTAAGATCAAGTTCCTGGGGAAAGGTGAATATAGCTTCTACAGGTGAGGCCCGTCGAGCTCAATCGTCAGTATGCAGGACTTGGTAGTGTTCCGGGGCCACCAAAGCCTAGAATCACAGGCCACAAACTCCTAAACTCAGAGTGGAGTCCCCCAAGCTTCCACCATAAAAACTGTCTTTCAGGCACTCACCATGACCCCCCGGGGGACGTGTCACAAACCCCAACACTCTGTGGTAGGCCCCTATATCAATTAGGATTTGGGGGGAGAGGGTTTAAGGACAGAGAACCTAATCCAATAGGACCTAAGCAGAAATTACTGGCTCACATGGCTGAGAGGTCCCTGGAGTAGTCTAGCTTCAGGTTAGCTGGAGGCGGACTCAAATGTCATTGCACCTGTTTCTCTGTGGCCACCTCTCAGCATCACTTTTGTGGGCAGGTCTAACTCTCAGGCAGGTGTCTTCTCCAAGAGGCAAGGTGGCCACCAGCATCTCAGCACTGCGAGTCCTGGGGAAGCCCCTTCTCCTGGCAACTCAAGCAAAAAAACTGATTTTCACTCTGGTGTATCTCAGGTTATGTACAGACTCCTGAACCACCCATCGTGGTCTGAGGAATAGAATCTGCTAATTAGCTTATGCCCGAATCCTAAGCGTCACCCCCCTGAAGGTGGAGGCAAAGTCAGCTTTCTTTGGACCAACACAGAAACGTTAAATGACAGCTCTGTTAACGCAATAAGGGGGTGTGGGTGCTGGTGGAAGACCCACAATGTTCTGTAGAGAATTTTATACACCTATTCACTCAACAAATATTTTTTAAATATATTTTTATTGATTTCAGAGAGGAAAGGAGAGGGAGAGAGAGATAGAAACATCAATAACGAGAGAGAATCATTGATTGGCTACCTCCTGCACACCCCCTACAGGGGATCGAGCCCAAAACTCAAGCATGTGCCCTTGACTGGAATCGAACCTGGAACCTTCCAGTCCGCAGTCCAACACTCTATCCACTGAGCCAAACCAGCTAGGGCTCAACAAATATTTTTGAGCACTTACTATGTGTCTGACACAGCAGGCTTTGCTACAATAGTGAAAAAAGACAGACACATTTCATCCCTTTACAGAACTTGTCATCAATTGGATAACATTTATCTTTATTGATCATCACGCACCGTGCAAGACAGAATTTATTGTGCCCATTTTACAAATGAGGAAACTGAGGCTCAAGGATGATTAAGTGACCTGCCCAGGGTTACACAATAGTACATGTAAGAGCAGGATTCAAATACAGATTTGTCTGACTTCAAAGCTTAGCCACCCTGCCCAGTGCCCTGGGTTCCCAGGGCTGCTTTCATAGCGTCTGGGTTGGGTGGGGTGTATGGGGTGGAGGGCTTGGGCGGGAAGGATGATTCTACATGAACCATTGGCGGAGTCCTGTGTGGGCCCCCCGAAGGCTAACAAACATTTCTTCTTCGCAGCCTGGTTATCCGTGAAGTCCAGCTGCCCAGCTCCCAGATAAGACTGTTGCCCAACGAGGGCCTGGCTCTCTCCGTGACAGATGCCAGCGTCAAGATCAGCGGGAAATGGAAGGCACGCAAGAATTTCATGTGCGTTTCCAAGCCTGGGGTTGTTAAGTGTGTGGGTAAGCTCTCAGCGACACTTGGAAGGGATGAGAACCAGGATCTCGGGAATGCCCAGTTTTGCCTTGCCCATCACCACTTGTCCTCTTGGGGTTCCTGGGGGAATTTTTCACAGAAGATTCAATATAACCCTCGTTTAGTAACTGAACATGTGTCCTCATCTCAATGCAGGACACTGGCAAGACTGAGTTAGTGCATGTGGCTTAGGATGGAAGGTGAAGTGGAACCTTTAATTTACCCCTTTAACAGTTAGCTATTGCTGTGTAACAAACATTGCTATCTCAGTGGCTTAAAACAAGTCATATATTATCACTTGCACATCTATGTATTGGCTGGGGTTCCCCTATCTAGGTTGGGCTTAGCTGAGGCGGCTCTTCTCCAGCTGTATCTCTTCCTCCTCTCACGGCCAGTGGGCTACCCAGAGCATGTTCTTGGTGATGCAAAAAGACAACAGGAAACATGCAGGTCCCCTTAAAGTTTAGACTCAGAACTGGCCCATGGTCACTTCTACTCATATGCCATTGGCCAAAGCAAGTCACACGGCTATACCCAAGGTCAAGTGCATGGATGCACATCCCACCTCCCCCCCGCCCCCCACACACACCATAGGCAATGGGGAGGGTTCGGATGCAGGAAGGGGTAAAAGATTCGGGCAAATCAACCAAACTATACCCGGAATCTAACTAAATATTGGGCTCTCACCACATTAGTGACCTTGTCCACTAATGATGGCTCAGACTGACCGTCACTTTAGCAACTTCTCTCCTTAGTGGGGAATCCAGGGAGGAAATGGAGGAGAAGAGTGTGAATCTGCCCTCCCTTACAAGGACCACTGGGTCTGTCCGTTCCCTACAGCAAGAATGGCTGAGGTCTTCACTTGGGCTCTTTTGTATCTATTATTTCACTTACTGATCACACACACACACACACACACACACACACACACACACACACACAGTAATACTTCATTACATTGTAGAAGAGTTGACTTCATTCATGTCCACCGTCTTATCCAAAACTCATCCCCGAGGGAGGCGTTATGAACCCCGCTAATGAACAAGAACATTCATTGATTAAAGTCATTGACCCCAGACAACCAGCTTTTTAGTGGCAAAGCTGGTGTCCCATTGCTGCTGCAGGCTCCGGATGAGGCAACGGAAGCTCAGAGAGGGGAAGAAATACTCCCCACGCTACACAGCATGGGCCGAGGCTGAGGCAGTAGGTGAGGGCAGGGTTCTGCCAGGCGGACATGGGTGGAAACTTCCGGGTGGACTCCAGATTTCACTCAGCTGATGTGTGACCGTGAGCACACTGCCTCCCTCTCTGAACCTGGAGGGGGGCGGAATAGCAAAACCTACCTTCTAGCATCGGCCTGGAGTTCAAAGTGCTTGCTCCAAGCCTTCTCTTTGTCTCCCTTCAGCAAAACCAGCGGCAACTTTGATCTCAGTGTGGAAGGCGTCTCCATTTCGGCTGGTCTGAACCTGAGCTGCGACCCCGCTTCAGGCCACACCACCGTCACCTGCTCCGGCTGCAGCAACCACATTGACAGCATCCACGTGCACGTCTCCGGCAGCCACCTGGGGTATGGCCTCCTGGGGCTGTGGGTGGCCCGGGGACGTCAAGGAGGACTGTCCTAATCATCCCTGAGTTTAGAAAACATGCTCTGAGCGTCACCTCCCTGCCAGGCCTGGTTTAGAGGCCTCGGGTGTATGGGAGAGGACAGGAGCCCTTGGAGGCAGCAGACACCGTCCCGGCCTCCAGGGGGCACTTGCTCACCCAGCATGCATTCAGCAGACTTGCTGAGCTCATGCTATTGCCCCAGGCTCTGTGCTGACCACTGGATGTGCAGCGCGTTATACAATCCTCACCACAAAGCTGCAGGCATTTAGCCAGCCAGCCAGTCAACACATATCTACTACAAATCCTGGGCACCAGGCTTATGCAATGTGCTCAAGAAACAGCAGTGGCCAATACCAATGTAGCAATAGCCAACCAGCTAGCAGCGACTGGAAGCTCACCGTAGCCGGCACTGTTTTAAGCACCTGCATTCCCTCATTCTGTCCACACAATGACACTGAGGTTAATCCATTTTCAGGGGAGACAACCCAGGCTCAGAAAGGATAGGAAATAACCTGAGTTTTCATACCTAGTGATGACTGAGAAGGGATTCAGCCCAAGACTCTCTGGCCTCAGATTCTTAGCCACACAGTCCCTGTGCTCTTGAAGCCTCCAGCCCAGTGGGGAAGACAAACATTAATCAGATCACTACATTAATGAGTAGCTCACGGAGAATTGCAAAAAGGATGTAAGAGTGAAAAAAAAAAAAGAGGTACAGAGTGGGCAAACACATGGAACAGGAGGATCTGACCTAGTCTGGGGGTTGGCCAGTTCTTCCTTGATGAAATGACATTTGAGTTGAGATGAAAAGAATAAGTAGGAGTTAATGAGGTCATTGCTGGGGACAGGGATGTGTTAGCAGAGGGAACAGCACGTGCGAAGGCCCTGGAGTGGGAGGAGGCACAGGACACAAGAGGATCTGGCAGAACCCTGTGGCTGGAGTGCAGAGGGGAAGGGGCATGGCCAGGAATGAGGCTGAGACGGGGCAGGGGCCCGGCCACGCCCCTATTGAGGAAATAACCTTATCAACAGGCCCCTGCCCACAGGGGCAGAGGTGTGTAATGGGTGAGTGCATC